TCCTGCTGAGCAGTGCTTACACAGAGCCAAGCCCTTTTCTGCTCCTCACGCCAGCAGCGAGCAGGCTGGGGGGCACAAGGAGCTGGGAGGGGACACAACCGGGACAGCTGACCCCAGCTGACCCAAGGGATATTCCATACCGTATGACGTCATGCTCAGCGTATAGAGTTGGGGGAAGAAGAAAGAAGGGGGGATGTTTGGAGTTATGGCGTTTTGTCTTCCCAAGTAACCGTTACAGGTGATGGGACCCTGCTTTCCTGGAGGTGGCTGAACACCTGCCTGCCCATGGGAAGTAGGGAATGAATTCCTTGTTTTGCTTTGCTTGCCTGCACCCAAGAATGGCTGCTGTAAGGAAAAAGCAAGGTCTGATGTTGCTCCTCTATGCATGCACTAGAAGTACTTCAGACTCAAAGCCTATGCAAGAGACACGCACAGCTGGACAGCCAAAGCACTTACTGGACCACCAACCTCTAACAGGGCACAGCAGCTAAGGAATAGGATAAGAACACAGCTGACACACAGCAACTCTCTCCCAGTATTTTTTTTTAGTGATTTGCAGCTCAGGAACTCCGATGTCAGAGATAGCATCTTTGTGTTTAATAGCCCTTGATGGATGTTTCTCTCATGACTATATCTAATCACTTTTTAAGCCTGTGTAAAGCTTTGGGTTCCACAATTTAACTAAGCACTGTTTGAAGAACCACCTCCTTCTGTTTGCTTTTCAGCCTGCCAAGTAGTTTTACTTAATGCCCCCTAGCTTTTTGCATTAAGAGACAGCCAAAAATCATTTGCTATGCAAGAAAAACAGGCAGGCTTTACAACCCTTGTCCCATCTCACATATGTTTTCCTGCAGGCATCTTTTAACCTCAGGAGGTCAGATTCATCTTATCAAGCATTAGCTATCTAGTTTATGTTAATGATGTAAGTCAGTAGAAAGAGACAGGTGTCAGATTAGCAAGATGAACCATCTGTAGAGATGCCTATCTCAGGACAAGATGAGCTGTCCTTACAGCTTTCACCTCACTCCACTGACTATAGTCTGCATCATTCTTTTTGCCTAGATGTTTACGACTTGGGCAGAAATCTTGGCAAGGTGAACCCCGCTCCAGTTTAACACTCAGCAGACCCTGCTTTGCATGTGACATCTTACCCACACCAGCTCTTTTGGAGGACACAATCCCAACGCACATATTGTCCTTGAACACAGAAGCAGCTGAGCTTGAAGGCTGAGCGACTCTGTAGTGGTGCTGAAGGTATTGCTGGATTTCAGCTAGTGGCCTCTGGGGTATCATGTGCACTTTGTACTGGCTGAAGACAGAAGGGATGTAGCTGTGCTCCCTCTCGCAGTTGCACAGAATGACAAGGCGATAGGTCTTGTTGTAGTGCTGCAGGTACTGGAATAGCTCCTCTGCTCTGCAGCTGACATCGTAACTCAGCTCATCTGCATATAGCATGGTGTAAATTTTCTCTCCTCCGCTGCAGGGAATGAGGCACCTCCTGAGGAAGAGCCCCACTTGCTCAGCAGTGGTCTGAGGAGTGCACAGGAGAACTTCGTCAAAAGTGGGAAGGGGCTGGTTGGGGCTGTTCATGTAAATAGCCAGAGCAGATGTGAGCACCTCGGAGCGAGGGCATGTGATGAGGTTGGGCTGACCAACATAGAGAAGATCCTGTGGAAAGTCTCGTGTGACATGCTCTCTCTCCCAGCTGGCCAGATTCTTCAGCCACCCGCCAAGCGTATCAATATCCAGGCAGTTCGGAAGGAAGGAGGCCATGTTGCTCATGTAGCACTCCCAGATGTACTCCAGCCGTGCAGTCAGGTCCTTCATCCCATCCAGCGTCACTTGGAAGTCAGAAATAGCCTTCCTTGAGCTGGGAGGCGCCTCACCCCTGGAGGCTCTATGGACATCCTGCTTGGTGCAGTTGTGTTTTAGGAACGAAAGCATCATCAGGGCACCCTGGCTGGGCACCCTCTGCCCCAGTTCTGTGCACAAATAGACCAGCTGCTCAGCAGTGTAGTAGTTCAGGTAGAAATGCTGGAGTCGTTTTTCATACATGAAGCTTTTCCAACTCTCCAGGAAACTCTCCATTGTCTTGCAGAGGCCTGGGAGCACAGCCGCCACATCTCCTTGCCCTTCTAGCACTGGGATCGGTCCCAAAGAGAAGTCTATAAGAACACGTGATTCTATTTTGGGTGAACAATACACACGAGCAAGCCAGGAGCGGAAGAGCATGTTCCCAGCTGAATAAAGGTCTATAAAGGCCTGTGCAAGTCTTCGGACATTGAAAAAGATCTGTGTGAGGATAGAGGAGAGATTAAAAATACTAAACCATTTACCAAGACAAGTCCCAGTCATGAAACCACAGGAGAGACTTTCAATCAAAATAAAGGCTTTGGTCCCAAGCCAGGTGTGTCAGGCCTTGTACAGTAACAAAAGACTCTCTGGCTTTAACAGCAGTATCCCCAGAAAGCCAGTAAGGAATCCCCAGCTTGCTACAAAACCACAAGCAACCCTCCCAGCCAGGAGCCATCCCCAGTGGAGCCAGAGGATGAGGGTACCAGTCCACTGTCCACTTTCCAGCTTAGTTCCACCTTAATAGGGAACCAAAGAGGTAGGAACATCTATCTGCCTGCTACTATTCATCCCCAGCAACTCAGCTGTAAACCACAGTCTTAAAAGCTGATATTCAAGGCAAAATCCAATCCCAGCCTCAACATCAGTAACCCACTGGGTTTGAAATCTGACCTCAGAGAACTTCTCCACCTCCAAGCCTTGCTCTCCCTTTGCCGACATGAGCATCAGTTTGTTCTGCAGTTCATGGAGCTCTGCCAGAGAGTATTTCCATGACGCTTCATTATCCCCAGAGCTCCCTGGGAGGGTGAAGCACAGGACATTGTCCAAAGTAACCTGCCAGAGAGCAAGTCATTAGTGCTGATGTGCACTGAGGTCCCACTCCTGAGGCAGTGCTACACCCAGCAAGGTGAGCACTTAGGAGGCAGCAGCCCCCAAAAAGGAACTGTGCAAAGTGGGAGAAAAGCTACAGCACATTTCTGACAGTCACCGACGTAACAGCAGTGTTATCTGCAGGAGGGGGGGGAAAGCCAGGCAGCCTCACCTTTTGGCCATCAGCTGGTGCTCTGAGAACATATATTCCTCTCCTGTTGATGGCAGCTGCCAGCGACAGCGATGAGAGCTCCACAGACCCGTGGCTCTCTTTCACTGTTTTCAACCACTCTAAGTGTTGAGCTGAAGCACGCTGTGGGAAGAGAAGACATGGCACTGCCCTAATCACTCTGACTTGGCACTTCTTTCCAGGATTACATTTGTGTCCAGGACAAACAGCTTGGGCTGGCATAAGAGTTTCAGGATGGGGAAGGAAGAAAGGAACGACTACTGGCCACAGCCTAATCTTTCTGCACAGCTGTTCTTTACCAACACCATGGGAGGCTAAACAAACAGAGCCCACAGTGCTTCAATGCCTCTTGCTGTAGAAACATGCCCTGCTGCAAAGAATAAGAGAGTTCCCAGCCACGTGCCTTCCCTTTTCTGCATCATCAAACTCTTGCAAGAGCAAAGCTACACCATGCCACACTTGAAAGCCTCAGCAGCGCTCTGGAGAAATCTGTGCTATTCCAGATACAGTTGCTGCAGTGAATTTTTGTGCCACGGAAACACAAGACATTTTTCTTCCAATAACAAGAGCTGCTGTGATGTCCCCAGACAAGCGCAATTTGCCCTGTGCAGTCAATCTTCCAGCCACTCTTGGAAGGCAGAAACACAAGAGGATAGAGAGGACCTGCTCCAGCAGAACTCACCAGTTTCTTGGGAAGATTCTCATCACTGTCCAGGGCTCGCCACAGCTTCCTCAAGCAGTGCATGAAGTCCTCAAACCCTGACTCTTGCCTAAGCTCGTAGAGCAGGGAAGAGTAGCCATGCACAGTGTCGTGGAAACACGCCACACGGTCCACATCCATGTCATTCTCCCCAGCAGATATGGAGGCCAAGTCTACAAATACCTTCAGCTCATTTATATCTTAAATGAGATAAAACACATGAATGAATAAGAAATGAGGCACCCCTAATGCAATTCCACATCACCACCTTTTATAGAAACTGCAGAAAGAATGCCTTTGAACAGCATCTCCTGTGCAACTTCCCTCCACCCATCCTACCAGCAACCTTAGTAGGTGATTCATTCACATTAATGACATCCCTGGCCCTGGCTTTTCTCCACATTGCCACAAACGGCAAATTCACAGCCAGGACGGAAGCAACGCAAAGGGGGTGTGTGTCTGTGCATGTAAGACAACTGAGCTGGCAGACATACAACCCAGACCACTGCCATCCTGTTAAACGGATGGCCTCTGTTCTCTTAAATAACCGGTCTGAACCGAATAGTGGCAGCTATTACAAACCTTCAGACCAAGCCCAGCTATCGGGCTGGGTAACTACTGTGTGCTGCACGAGACTACAGTGGCACAGGCATGTTTAAAGGGACTACTTCATAGCACGTTCCACACCAAAACCCATAAGAGATGCTTGTAACTCTATCAATACCAGAAGCTGTGAAGGCATAAAGATAGCAGATGGGTCAGGGACATGGCATTCCTTCTGCCCCCACACAAACTGGCATCCCTTCTAGTACTAGCTGCCTAATTCCTGGGTGAGCAGCACACACCTTTCAGTGCTTCTCTGACCCAGCAGACAAACTCCTTCTGCTGGGCCAGCTCCCTCAGACACCCACGTCGTTTCACTGTGATCCCCTGCAGCAGTGTCTTGGCACGCATAAGCTCAGGGCTGATGGAGTCCAGCTTTTGTGTCTTGTATGATTCAAGCTTTTCTGTCTACAAAGCAAGCAGTGCAAACAAATATTCAGTCTGGAAAGGGGAAACACAACCCGTTCTCCAGCAGGGAAAGGAAAGCCCTCTGCAAAGCCACACACCAAACAGAGGAATACCATCTCCTCTCTTCTGAGAAAGATTACACAAAAGCACTTTGTTTGAACACTTAATTTTTATCTCAGATAAGCATTTTGGGACAAGGAATGGCTCTTGACAGACTGGGATAGACTTGTGAGAAGGTTCAGATTTACCCAAGCTTTCTAGCCAACACCTGGACAGTACAGAGCTGAAGAAGTGGATACTTACTATGTCCAACAAGTTTTCCAGGATACTGAAGTCACCAGAGAGGCTTAAACTCTCTTTGACACTGGCAATGATCTTCGCAGCATCAAAAGTTAAGTGCATTTCATGGTACTGCTGGATCTGCTCAAATCGCTGATCAACCCAATCTCCAGCTTCTCCAGGTCTAAGCTTACATATGGTATTTAGTTCAGTTTTGATATCTTCAGGATGATTTGTGAATTCCTGAAAAATTGTATCAACTGCAGAAAGTGTGAGACTTCCAGATCTGAGATCATCATACAACCTTTCATAGCTCACAAAACAAGGGGTGATTAGACAGCTCAAAACACTATCAAGGTCCAATGCAGGAACAATGCTGTCCTCTTCCTCCTCTTCTGAACTGTCATACTCCTCTCCTGCCTTCTCCGCTGCTTCCTCCCAGAACTGCTGGAAGATCAGGCTATCCTTAAAAGAGTGCATTTTCTGGGCAAATTGTTTCAGCTTTGGGCTCAAGCTGTAGTAGGTCTGTATGGGTCTCTCTCCCACATTCACAACCGTATTTAGTCGTTTTAAGCAAAGATCTTCCAAGTGTTGAAATTCCACTTTGCCTACATCCACTTTAAAACAGAGAGATAGGTCAGAGAGAGATCAGATATCAAGCCTCTGCCTGGCTTACTTCATCTAATCCACCAAGTCACAAAATGTTATTGGGCATGCAGACCCCTACAAATATCATTTGATGCATAAGCACTCACTTGATCCCTCAAATGCTCTAGGTTTACTTCCCCCACCCCTCCTCATCCTTGCTGTGGTTTCAAATAAAACCCATTTACAAAGCCTAGTCGTTTTCAAAGAAAATTATGTTTTCTGGAGTTGCCACTTTCAAATTGCTGCCCCAAAACACTACCTTTCACAGATGCCTTCACCTTCCTACACATGCTCAGAAAGGTTCCTATTGCTTTTTTGTCTTGTCTGAGAAGCGTTACTTCTTCTTGCCTCTTCTGCAGCAATTCTTTCAGTTCACTCTGGAGTAGTTCTTTGTCTTCACGTGACAGCTGCTGGTGCTCTGAAAGAAAACTCATCTGTAGTCACAAGGCAGATACTCCCCACCCCCTGCACCTATAACTCAGGTTTGGATTTGCAGAGTCACAAACACTACAGTGAAATGCAGACAACAAAAACTGGAGCTGGGAACTCCATACAAAGGACAAAGACAAAGGCAGCACCGCTAACTGCTGAAGCACCTAATTAACAATACTAATCACTGAAGTAGGTTAACAGAGTAGGCCATCGATCACTACAGTGATGCCATAAGCCAACAATGCCACCTTTGAATGGTGTTCTTACTTATCTCCCAGATACAGGTGAACTGTTCCTCATGCCGGAAAATCTCTTCCAGATGTTTCACAAGGATACACCCTTCCTGGATGTCATCGAGGACACTCATAAACACAGAGTCTGCTGTGGCCATTATATTCTTTGCTTCATCTGTAAGTTTTTCTAGGAGTGTTGTGTTTGTTCCTGTTCCAGAAACAAAGCATGTAAAACCTAGATCAGCCCTGCTTCACAAAAACTAGGCAGAATCAATAACTATTCAGTGTCTTGATACAGAGTGCTTCCATTTCCCATTCAAATCCCTGCCCAAAAGCCTGTGAACTCATCACACCACCCTCCAACCCCTCATGTTTTTCTGAACAGAAACAGCCAGGATCTCAGGAGACCAATTCAGAAACCTTCCCATGGCAAGCCCATACCCAAAACCTGTGGAGGAAACACAAGCCATTTTGATCCATTCACATGACAAACACTTGTGCATTTTTGTGTAGCAATCACATATTAGAACTTCTCAGAGAAAGAAGTTATGTTCCACAAAACCACTTTATCTACAGGTTCAGC